TAATTATTGTATAAGGATAATTATTATTCTATATTTATTTTGCGTTGCAACGATATATGCACTAAAGAAATTAAGTTTTGCGCCAGGGATATCCTCGGTTTTACAGCGCAATACTTCAAATAACGTTCGATACCAAAACTTATTCATTTAACAAAATGTGTTTGAAACACAATTTACAGCATGAATGTCCTCGTGAAAGTACATTTTTAAAATTATATCGCAATAGTTAAGGTCCAATTAACCACTTTGTACAGTTTATTGCCGTGCTGCAAATGCGTTGAACAGATCGAACATTTAATATTTTGATATTATTGTTAAAATATATAATCGCATGATATTTTTATGCAAAGTTCAGGTGATTTTAATTGCGACGATGTTTGAAATACAACAGACGAGTTTCTTACTTTTCAAAATAAATTATCTTAAGTTCTGTTTGTTTAATATATATATGTTCGAACTATTTTGAATATTATAAACAATTGTGAAGTCAGCAAAATTTAAGGCAAAACAAAAATTCCATTGCGTGAGTAATGTAGTCTATTGAATGAATGCAATATTTTAGCGCGATATTTATTGCTATAATGAAAATGAGTCAAGAGATGCAAATGAACGGAATAAAAGTACATTGTAATTAGTACTAAATAGCAAATCTGCCTTACCATATCGCATTTATGTTGCTCCGACAATTTCTGTAATTTTATTGCTAAAATCTTCTCGCTCTTGTCAGAAACTCTTGATAATTCCTACAATAAATGTTACAACATTTTGAGAACATGGCGAATTAAGTTATTACAGGGAATTTTAGAAACACTTTATTCCATGGGAGGGGATTTCCATATTTGAGAAAAAATTTGAAGTCTGTGTAAATTGTAACAAGTATATGCATAGAAGTGACTCAAATGTTCGTAGCGCATAAAGGCAAGAAAAAAAACACTTTTAATTACGTAACCCTTACGAAAAATAACATAGTTCGAAAAATATACAGTAGTGCGACCTGCTGAAATGCCTGCAAACGGGCAAATGCCAGCAAGCTGACGGGTACGTCCCCGTCGAAAACCTATATAAACGCTATATGAAAACTGGCAGTATTTTTTTAAGTGACATTTTTCAGAGATTAGGTGTCATTTTCAAACACAAGGAATATTAATTGTTTTAAATATTGAAAATTTTTGGCAGTACAAAGTTGAATTGTTCTGCCCTAAAAATATAGCTATGTCAAAATGAAAAATTATTGAAATGAAAGTATAATGATTATTGAATTGTCTAAAATTATGACGAAGTTCTCGAAAGCTATCACAATAAATTTAAGAGAATTCATTTCGATTATTTATTCGTACATTATACTTTAATTTTTTATTATGAAGCAGCTATAGTATGGAACTTACTAATTTTCTCAAGTCTTCACTTTCTGATTCCGTCAGATCAGAGGCGGAGTCCAAATAAACGGATGGAATACCTGCAAGACGCTGCTTGAGAATAAGTTTCTCTAATCTATCTCGATTCTCTGTTAATAATAAAAAAAATATATATAATAAGATGTTCTTTACAGAATAAGTAATAGTGACATAGAAGATAGTAGTTACATCGATCTCGTCGATGTAACTACCATCTTCTATGTCGAGTTAGTAGAGTATTTGTAATAGAACGTAATCATGAAAAACATTCAATAATTCTTACTGTCATAAGCCACGACAGAACCCTGCTTGGGTGTTTCACCTTCCGCGCACTTGATCCGGTACAGCTTCGTTTTTGAAATCTTTTTTTCATCGAAACCATGAATTTGCTCTGACAAAAATATTTTCTTTTCTCCACTATTTGATAGCTTAAGACATACAAATAACATTGTATTATTTCTCGTGTCTTAATTTTATCCCAGTTCTCGATCGCTAGCGCGTGCACGTTGAAAATTATCGTCGTCGATTATTCGGTGAATCGCGCGGCGGTATATAACACACACATTTAATATAACCTCACACGTCTCGTGAATTTATTCGGTAAATCGCCAGTTTTGCACTTCCGCGGTTTTCAAGGTCGTGGCAATGCACGCCGTCAAAAAAACGTAATACTCGTCGTGTCGTGATTGATGTACGTATTATTCTGTGCGAATCGCTATGATCAGAATAACTGTATAAGTCTTTATTTTAAGATCCGTCTTGTACATCAGAGGTTCGAAATCCACTGTCGTTGTATAGGCGCTTGCAAAGCACTTTAGAGCACTTGCTCCTTGCTCCTGGACCGTGAGAGGATCCTCAATTGTTTTAAGCGGCGCGGCTTCGCCACAAGATCGGAAGACGCCGGTCGGTAATAGATAGTGCTTAGGGTGCGTTCCCACTGAGCGCGTCACGCGTCGCGTCATCCGAATTGATCAATCAAAACATCCCGTTTTAATGCGTAGTTTGCCGCGCAATCCGGGATTTTATACAAAGAAAGATTCTTTTATCTTTAGAATGTCGAGTAACCTAATCGATGCGTCATACAAGGAGTTGAGCGGCAATTAATGATGCAATAAAATGGGATATTTTGGTTGATTAATTCATGACGCGACGCGTGATGCGCTCAATGGGAACACATCTTTATAGGTATATTTCGTACCGACGCCACAAAACAATTTAATAATAAAGGATCTGAGATGACGGTGCGGTAGACTTTACAAAAAATCCTACAAAAGCAATATTTAAATAATATTTGAATTATTTTGATAGTTTATTAGACAATTTTTACTAAACATTACATTGATTTATTCCTTTTTAACGATTTAATTAATATTTTTATTTAATAATTAAATTAATGTTTCATAGTACAATATATATATACAAAAAATTATTTTAAAGCTACGTGTTGGACGAAAATGTGCATTAACACCGCTCGCCACAAGTCGTGGACTTCCGACTATAACCGGGTTCACATAATTTTGAAAAGCCAAAACTGGATTGGCAGCTATTACCCGCATTCATTAAGTCTTGGATTTCCAAGTAATACCGCGTACAAGTATTGAAAGGAAATGCGCATTAAAACCGCTCGCCACAAGTCGTGGATTTCCGACTATAACCGCGTTCACATAATTTTGAAAAGCCAAAACTGGATTGGCAGCTATTATCCGCATTAATTAAGTCTTGGATGTTCAAGCATTACCGCGTACAAGCTGTATTGAACGGAAATACGCATTAAAATCTCTCGCCACAAGTCGTGGACTTCCGACTATAACCGCGTTCATATAATTTCGAAAAGCCAAAATTGGATTGGCAGCTATTACCCGTATTTATTAAGTCTTGGATGTTCAAGCATTACCGCGTACAAGTATTGAACGGAAGTGCGCATTAAAACTGCTCGCCACAAGTCGTGGACTTCCGACTATAACCGCGTTCACATAATTTTGAAAAGCCAAAACTGGATTGGCAGCTATTACCCGCATTCATTAAATCTTGGATGTTTAAGCATTACCGCGTACAAATATTGAACGGAAATACGCATTAAAACCTCTCGCCACAAGTCGTGGACTTCCGACTATAACCGCGTTCATATAATTTCGAAAAGCCAAAATTGGATTGGCAGCTATTACCCGTATTTATTAAGTCTTGGATTTCCAAGTAATACCGCGCACAAGTGTTAAACAAAAATACGCATTAAAACCACTCGCCTCAAGTCATGGATTTCCAAATCTCACTGCGTCCATAGATGTTCGAAAATAATACACAGAATTTCGCATAGTACCTGATCTCTAATAGCACTGAATTTCCTTACATACGCGGATGGATATATCGCTCTCAGGAATTCCGAGTATTGTCTATTTTCAATTAGGTGCAAATGTCCGTGCCATCACAGACCGATCTTTTATTGGGAAACTCATATTTAGTCGTTACTTGTTTAAACACGGAAATACTTACATAAACCAATTATTGTATTTCCATATAAAAATCAGTAAATTTTATGTCATAAATTTCTTGCATATTCTAACGTACTTGGAATTACGAATGAAAACAGATAACATTTTTATCTGGGAATCCAACTAAATACCATGAACTGGAAATGCATGTATAACCAGATTTAATTTTTGTTTGGACGGGCTTTGTGCCAGTCAAAGACTGATTTCACCTGTTCTGTCCTCATATGACCGTATATGATTTAAATCTGGATATAACTGGAATTTTTAGCAGGGATTCTAGAAGGCTGGGAAAATGAAAACATAGAAGAAGACAGGGAAAATGAAGTTTATGTTGTTGAAGATCCAGTACGAGACGAAGATGCTGGTATAGAAAAAAGAAATTATCTTGTAACTCTTGTTTGATTTGTATTTTATTTATACATTTCCTTACAAATACATATATACTTTGAAAATATATATTTTAAAAATATATGTATATCCTTAATGTTTCACAGTCTTTATAGATATCACATTTAATACCTGAGTTGACAATATGTGCAAATAGCCTAATAATATTTCCAATGCGAATCACAAAAAATTAATCTTTTATATTTTTTATACGATAATTAATCTCTTATGTCCTTAACTTATCACAAATATTCTTCTATATCTCTAATATTAAAATATAAAAGGTACATAAGTTGAATATCAAAAACTCAATAAACATTTAAGGAACAAAAAATCAATCTTAAACAAAAAAATAAACTCATATTCTTATTTAATTAATCCTCGCCTAAATCTAATTAAAGTTAAGTAGAAATAATGTAAAGTTAATTATATAAAAACTTATTAACAAATGGGGAGAACATGAGAGCCATTTCAAAAGCACTGCTTTTAATAAGAAAGCCTGGAAAATTATTTTGTATAATTAACTTTACATAATTAAGTTTTGGTTTGATTTTTAATACTAAAGAGACTTAAGTACTTAAATCTTTAGAAATTAATACTGTTAATTAGGAACAGAAAATAGTATTAAACGATAAAAATATTACTAAAAGTTAGTACTAAGTACTGATGAAAAACAAAAAATATATGCAAAAACAAAGTGCATCACTCTTGAAAATTGCACGTAATGACAAAATAACACAAATTTAATCTTTGATCACAGAATTCTAACAAAAAAACAAGGCAAATTTAAAAAATTAGTGTTATGACAGTCAAAATAAAAAAATTGTATATAATTATTACTTTATAACTTATCCAAAAGTCGGTTCATTGCACTTTGAAAGATTTCCATGGAACGATCTTGTCGCTCCATACGCTCAATGTGTCTTTGTTGCCGAGCTTCTTCTTTTTTCTTAGACTCTTCTGTTTTTATGGAGAGTAATCTTTCGATGTTTTTTTCAATAACACTTTTCTTTTTCTTTTTGGACTTAGGAGACTTACAGCCATGCTCATTGTCATCTTCAGCGTCACTGCTACTCTCTACATTGCATACAGAACTTGAACTTACTGCACTTGAAGAAGATTCTCGAGTTCCAAGTTGATTACGCTTTTGTAGTGTTGAAGCTATGGATACCGGTTTTATAGCTAGTTTGTCACCAAGAGCTTCATCCATCTCTTGATAAAACTTGCACGTAGCAACTGGAAGGCCACTACTCTTTTCGTTTTGATCCTTAATTTTTACATAACGTTTCCTCAGATCCTTAAATTTATCTTCGCATTGCTGACCAGTATAATCCCAGAGTGGATTCTCTTTTTTCAATTTGCTGGCTATCATTTCCCAGACTTTCTTATTAGTAATAGTAGTGCTTTTGAAATAACTTTCATGTCCTCTCCATTCGTCAATAAGAGTTTTAACTGCATACTCATCCTTCCATGATGCTGTAGTAAGAAATAAGAATTAGTAATGAATAAAGCAGTACATAAGAAAAAATTATGATTTTAAAATATACATACTTTTCTTACGTAAAATGTCAGTAAACTGTCGATTCTGTAAGTTTTCATTTTCAGAATTAGCTGTAGATTGTTCACTAGACAACAGTTCTGTTTCTGGCAATGTCTCATCTATTAACAAAATAATATATTATTTATCTTTAAAGATTCATCAAAAAAGTAATCTCACATACAACATTTAGTTGAAACAGATTACTAAAACAAAAAACTTGCCTGAAGAATTTATTTCGGCACGTAGATTGAAAGACGCTAGATTTTCAGGTGTTATATCAAGATGCACTGGACAATTACCTTTTAAAATAATAGAAAAATTAATCATTTCAACATTGACAAAAGAAAAATTCATATGAAAAAAAATATAACCTATATATATATATATATATGTATATATAATTAATAATATTTTTGGCATTTTGATATTTTATTAAAATATAACTTGGAATCTAATTTCACAAATTGACAATGTCACACGCGATATTATTATATCTATGTATTTCTCAACTTTTACATTAATAAATTTATTATATATGTAAATATTTTAAATATGTAAATATAAAAATGGATAAAAATGGAAATTCGTTGTTAGTAAATATGTATGTCTTTTATTTAAATTGTTACAGTTGTATATATATATATATATACAGGGTGATTCAGAATAACCCCGGTGTCCCTGAAAAGACGTATTCTTGACTCAATTCTAAGACGAT